TGTTATCCCTGAAGTGCCCCCCCCCCCCCCCATTCACAGCTGTCTGGCAATTCCAGAGTCCTAATACTGGCTTTATTCCAGTTGTTACCTCACTCTACCAGAGAACACAAACAGCAGGTTTCATTTAAATTTCTTCAGTAATCCCCAAAATGTTGTGTATATGCAACAATCTTTTGATTTTCATGTAGTCAACATCAACTTAACATGTACTATATCTTCTAGGTGACCTGGGAGTTGGATGTGCTGCTGTCCTGTTCCTTGTCAGTGACTTGGTCTATCTCCCCCCCCCGATAGACCATGTCACTGACAACTTCAGCATTAATCTAGGTAAGTTTCATTCCTAATTGGCTCTTCTTGCCTCATTTGATCTCTGGAAATGTGGAGAGCTTTATTCAGGAAATTGTCAACTGCTTGAATGTCAGCTTTGGCTTGTCGCAATTTGTGCATATAGTTTTCTTTACTGGGTTCAGCCATGTTCCTCGCCAGCCTCTGATTAACCAAATTTCGTTTCAATTTCTCCCACTTTTGACATTCTTGCAGTAGCTGCAGATTATTTTTTTTGGTCCATGTAGACCAGAAGAGGTGTGCCATGTTTAATTTTTGCTTCCATGTGAATAACCGTTCTTTCACACAAACTCCTGGTGGCTTGATTGTTGGTTATTTCATCGGCAGATGATTTGTAGTCCGAGGCTCCAAGTCGTTTGGGTCATTTGATGGTTTAGTAATTGTTCGTCGTTTATAATGGTTTCAACTAAACAAAATTGTGAAATTCAAAACTTTAAGCTGCATTTGTCATTCCCATACTCCACCTTGATGAGATGCTGATTTAGTATTGCATTTCACTTTTTATTCCTTTTTGAAAAGAGCTTTAGGTATTTTGGGCTGATTTAACGGAGTAGCTGCTTTCAGCTCTCTTTCAGTCCCAATGAAGTTTGTACCATTGTGTACAAAGAAGAATGTCCCATCTTTCTGCCGCTTATATTCAAATTTCTCATTAAAAACATTGTGCACAAGGTTGCAGAACTTCTTGGATCAATGAAAATATGTATTTTTATTTATTTTTTTTAAATTAAACTTCCTGTTTTTTGGACTTTTTCACTGGAACCAGAGCTGGCCCATGGCATAAGTCAAGTCACCTTTATTTATATAGTGCTTTATACAATACTGGTTTTCAAAGTTGCTTTAACACAAAACTGTCACCAAGGACGTCCTTCTGATTCAGAAAAAAAAAAATGGGAAGAGAAAGGGGCTAGATAAAGGCATGTTAAGAATAAGTAAACTAAAGGCTATGGTGTGAGCTAATGTTAGCTGGCTAGTTAATTAACATAGCTTAGGTAGCTTTTTTAAATTATTTTTTTAGGAAAGTTCATGATTGATTTAAACGTCCATAAATAGCCTTTAACATCTTAATATATTATAATGCAATACATTACTTGGCTAGTTTTAGATTTTAAAGTATTTATCATGTGTGTAAACATTATTTTCCTGGGTGCATATTTTTGTAATAAAAATAAGCTTCTGTTCCATAAACTTGGTAATAACAACTTGACATTATCTACATTAGCCTACCGTTGGGGTCTTTGCTATAATATACTGATTTCATTATGCCTCAATTAGCTATAGATTTTTTTTTTGTGTACACAGGTGGCTTGCTGTGTTTAATTTGTAAAATAACATTCTTTGTTGGAGCTCTGAAGTATTTTGGAGGTGGGGCACAACCAACGCCACCAACCCCAAGTGCCAGTGCTACAGCTGATGTTCCAGCAGGTGAGTTTTCAACAATCCCAGATCAATATAGTTATATGGGTAGCCCATAAGTTTTGTGAGAATTTAAGGAAAATCTTTTTTTGGCACAGGCTGTTGCGTTACCTTCTAACATGGCTGGCTATTATTATTATTATTTTCATTTTTCATCATGCCCATCCTCTGCAGGTGAGGAGCACTTACCAGCACCTGAATGCACTGATCCTGCTGTTCCTTCCATGTCTAATTGAACCTCAGTGGATGTGGCAGGTAAGTTAATATCACAACCATTTGTATTTGCTGTAGAATATCACATTTCTAATTCATGTAATTTTCATTTGCATGTCAGAATTCTTTGTACTTATTTGTGAGAGATGGAAACTAGAGTCTGCGACTTGGACTCTAGTTGCACTTAAGTTGCAAAGATAAAGACTTGTGACTTGACTTGGACTCGTGAACAGCTGACTTGAGACTTGACTGACTCATGATTTGTGAGACTCGAAAAAACGTAAGTCAATCATATGACATTCCCTGTTTACTACACCACATGGCAGCATCATACACACAAATACAAATATTTTAAAAAAATGCAAAGTTACGGATGACACACAGCCTGTTAACCAACA